TGATGCACAAATTAGCCCAGCATCACCTAGACTTCCCACCTTATCCCGTGCCAATTCTGAACCACGGCTGCGCACCTCCTGGAGCTTGTTCGAGGGGGCCCCCTCTTACCCCCCCCCCCCCCCCCTTTCTGTTCCTCCAGCCTAACCCTACACCACCGAAGCAAGCTGACTACATATCGCCGCAACCATGATCCATCACTGCCGCCGCAATACGACGCCATCCACCAACCGGGCCACCCTCCCATCTCATGCTGCTCATCACCCCTTTGACGAATCTCGATATCCCGGCTTGCAGCAGCCCCGTCTTGAAACATGGAGGCAGATTCTCACAAGCCAATCGCAAATGATGCATTCGCCCCCCAGCACGCCCACCATGGATCGTCCGCCGGCTATGTATCGAGATGACCCGGCTTGTCCCATACGGCCGCGCCGCTACTCTGTACACAGTACTATCCAATTCTATGCAGCGCCGCTCCTTGCAACTGCCATGCCAATACCATGAGATGCCCTGCTTCACATCAGCCCGCACCGCGTTGATGACGGTTTCAACGTGCTTAGCTCCTATGCCGCCCTGTCTGCTCTGTCCTGTCACGTACAGGTGCCGAGCCTTTCACTCCTCAACACCTGACGTGCGTGGCCCTGTTGTGTTGGAATGAATAGCGCACATAAAGAAGACGGGCCAGCTGGCTCTGCCACTGGTCCATCTTGACTGGATGGACGAATGAACGGACTAGCGATGGGTATACGTTTGCACGCTATATGCTGTCTTCTTTTCGTCTCGTCTGGCGTGTTGATGGGTAGGCAACAACGCTGTGCCGCGCCGCAGGGGGCTATGATCCCTGCTGGCTGGATGCTAATGGCAGATTGGCAGTACGCGGCTGGAGATGCCGTCCCAAGGATATTGAGCTGCCAGCGGTCGACACGATAGCCAACTAGACACTCAGGGCTGTGCTAAATGATATCAGCAGGAAGCGGACGGGCACTTTAGGCACCGGCGCCATCTGTGATGCTCACCCTGAACATTAGCAAAACGAGGCATATGCACACATGCGTCCCGCATGTGCAACTGTGACGAAAACAAGACGTCCGCCACCTGCAGTCGACAAGCAGCCGCCCAGAGCAACAGCACGCCTGTGGTTCGTCTTGGATTGGACGGCGAAGCAAATGGGACTGTCCGTCTCCCGCCAGTTCGTACACCTCATCCCACCGGTGCACTGCACTAGGATGCGTTGTCTGTTGTCATGAGCCGGCCGCACGTCTTATGCCTCCCCCCCATGGCAGCAGCACAAGCAATGATGCGATACCTCTTCGCAAGCAGGGACCGAAAACCGCATTCCGAAGAGCGACGAAAAGAAACACACCCCATGGAAACATTTGCGTACACGGACTCATTATCTCGTGTTGGGAAGTGAGATGAGTGGAAGTTCACAGACAGCAAGAGACGTTTTCTACGGCGAGGGCACGGACTGGCGTCGCATCTAGTGTCAGTTGAGTAGTTAAGACCAAACAGAAAGGGTTGCCAAACAGTCCAGCTCCCACGGAGCCAAGGTCGAGTGGCTCGAATCCTCCCCCCCCCCCCCCCCCCCCCTCTGGATCTCAACACCCCAATCTCCGTCAGATTGAAGTCGGCCTCTATTCTGTCCCAAGGCATCGCGTGGCTGCAGCGCCGTTGGATATTGCAACAGCAAAACATGCGCAAAGCACAAACAGACAATGGCGACAAAGGGAGCACTAGGCCGTTGGCAGGGCCCGTCGACCGTCCCTGACGCCTTGTGGCTTCCCAGCCATGTGGTTTTCCTGGCCTTTTCTGGCCGCTTGCATCTTTCCAGCCCGCCTCGACGGTATCATTCCAGCGCCGACAACTGATTGCCTATATCCTGCGCGGCTATTCGATGACCAAAAACAACAACACCAGAAACGGCAACCACCGAGCGACATGGGTGAAGCAATTGCGCCCCAGCATTCGCTTCGGCATCTCCCGACCGACAGAAGATTCATCTGCACATGCCCGTGGTCTGGTGTGGTTTTTTCGCCCCCCCTTTCGCCCACGGTCAGATACCAATCCGGTCAGAGATCATACGCCTGAGCCCTGTCCCCATTCACGGTCCACCCCATCACGGATCCCAGTCGCTTCAAACCGACCACTTCCTTGACAAGTTTCACGCCCAATCCCGGGTCTCAGCTTGCAGATCGATGGATAACCTGCGCCTCAGGGCCTCCCATTAGTATCAACCGAGCAGCCGCAGTCCATCCCCTGAATGGCGACCCGCCAGGCCAGCAACCCATAACACAACCGCGCTTGTTGTTTACAGTGTCCCTGCCAACCTGAAAAGTGTGCCAATGGAATGAACATGAGATAGATCCCACCCGTCCTTCCATGGCTATATCACGTCCGTTATCAGTCTGGCCGGCTCAGCTATTTGGAAATCCAAGCCCTGCCCGGACGTTTCCCCTGCGGAGATCATGGTTCAGACGGAGCATCTGACGCCATGATCTACTTCTTGGTCTAATCTGATGCACAAGACCAAGGGAGTCGCCCTACACTAGTCTTCGGCAACGACGAGGGCGCCAAGCTCACGCAGCAGGCATGTCCTTCCAAGAGCGCAAACTACCATCGCTGAGCGCAATTGCTACCTGTGCCATCTCTCTACGCTAGGTAGCAGAAAGATGGGGGCCGAATTGCGGACAAACTGCAAGCACAGCACGGCACCGGCATAGCATAGCATAGCACAGCACAGCACAGCATAGCACAACATGGCACAGCACAGCACCGGACAGGACCGGACAACACCGGACAGCACGACACAGCGCCGAGCAGGAAATGCGAAGAGCTGCCGCCCCTTGTCCCAGTTACACAAATCAACCCAAGACACCCACCCCCTGTCCCTGGAAGAAGTGGACATGGACCCCCGTCGACGCCAGTGGCCAGTCGGGGGCTTTTTTCCCCCACCGGCGCGCCCAAACCTACTGTGGGGAAGTCTAAACATCGACTACATCCCTTTCCCTTCAACGCATAATGCCCAGCATCCTTGCGTTGCCGCAAGTGGAAACTCTGGTCGAATTCTCTAGCCTCCCACTCTCCTCTTTGCACTGTGATCATGCTGGCTCCAGTTGCGAGCCTCTTGTCTGCCCCCATCTTTTTCTCCGATGATTGCTTCGCGGCTTTCGGGCCTTGCCCCAGCCTAGTCGTCGGGTGTGTGTTGGAATCGGGGCCCTGACCTGACAGAACGGACTGCAGCAGCACACCTGGGCTCGGTCCAGCCATCCGTCGTCGTCCATGTACCCATCTCAAGCGTCTTTGACCTAGTCATGACTTTCGAATCTGCTGCTCCCTCTGCTCTGTTGTGACCGTCTCGACACCCTCCGCCCGGATTTCTAAACAGCTACCGTCTTCAATCCCTACCGTCCCTTTATGCGTTCTCAGCACAGCCCTATTTGCTGCGTGTCCCTGGGCCCCCGGGCCCGTCCCCGTCTCTCGCTCACCATTCGTCCTATCTTTTGTTTCCTTCTTCTTGACCTTTCCCGAACGCTGGCCTTGGAACTCCTCTTTCTCACTTCATTACCACCGGTCTCTGTCTCTAGCCTCCTGGTATCCGTCACGATTCGGTTCAAGTTGAGGTTGGCGTGTGCCTCATCCATGGCATGATAACACCTGCGTTCCCGAAACGAAACTTTGACGAACGTCGCCGAAGCAGTCGCCGACGTTGACGAGAGCTGCCCAAGAAATACATCGGCGTTCCCGTAGGGCTCGCTCTTGTCCTTCCTGTCTCAAAGCAAGGGGAGAAGACTCGCTTTCGCAGCAGCAAGAATCTGGAAACGACGCTATCGTCCGACAAGCCACTCTCGCGGACCCGAACAACGTCTCCTCGGCTGACACTGCCACGCACCACCCCTTGGTCGTACAGCCTTGGGATCTCAGCTACACCGCGGAGGAGGCACTGTTTCCTCTGTTTCCTTCGGTTCGAGGTCGATCCGACATCTGGGACCTGCCAGGGCGTGTTCAAGCTAAGAGGTGTTAAAACCCTTTCGGATGACCCTTCAAGTACACCACTGGCCCGGCTTGAAGGTGTTTCGGCTGTTTCAATCCGCTTTTGGAACTGTCAGTGCGACTCTGAAACAGCGATCCCAACGATAGGTCTGATATTCTTATCGTTTGCTTCTTAACTTGTCATCGCCTCCTGTACTACCCCCTTCCCTTCCCTCGCTACCTCCCCGCCTCCCGGGCGCCACACACAAAAGCTTTGGGATCGCCCATCAACCTTATCAGTTCCCTACGCCTTCCCTTCACCGCTGTCACCTTACCTACCCACCCCCAAGTTGTGCGACCTTTCGCAGCCTGGGTTTTACAGACGACGAGTATCCGATATATCGGACTGGATCCTAGATCGGACATTACTCTCTTCTTCTTCAACGACAACAGTATCGGCCATCGACAGTACGAGCAAGGTCTCTTGAAGACGACCACTAGACTGGAAACCGGATCGACCTTTTGTTAACGACGATCCGGGCATTGCAGTACACGGCAATAGGCTCAAGGAGAAAGGCAGGACAGAGATTATATGACACCATCGCCCCGAGGGACCGCCAAGCTGGATTCGTCTCGGCGACAAATCTTCTCCCACGTCGTCCGCGCTTGAGCGATGGACGTGACATCACTACTGAACGTCGCGGCGGGAAAAAAGCCATTTATTCGGGACAACTCAGTCGAAACCACCTCTGTAAACATCTTTGACGGACACCATAACACAACATCGTCCCCGGAGAAGACAGCTTCTTCCAGGCGGACAAGCGACGCTCGAGCACCGCGGAACCGCACGCCATGGGATGCGGGCGGTTATTCTCTTCCACTAGCTCTTGATACAAAACTCACCCTTACCCATTCAAAGCCCACCTACTACGGCGAATCCGACGTGGATCAGTCGGCTTCAGCGAGTTCCTACGACGTTCCCTCTTCTAGCTGCCATTCGAGGGCCAGCTCTCTTAGTTCTTTGGCACACGAGATGGCGCAATCCGCCAATATTACTCCCATGACGAGCACACACCCCGGCCGGTACGTAGTGTGGTGTTCTCCGCTGTTCGCGCGCATCGATTGTCCTTGGTCCTTGTCAACTAACCTCCCGTGAAGCTTGGCAAACCTGGGCGAGCCAGATTCGCAACTTTATGTTGCGACTAGCCGAAGGTGAGCCAGTTACGGGGGGATTGTCTACGCTTCGAGCGATTTGCCGTACAACATCCATTGTCGTGTCCATTAGCTGACGTCCTCCAGGCCTAGCATTTCCGGTGACTCGGATGCTCAATTAACGGCCAGGTAAGCAGGAGCGCGTCCCCAGTTCAGAGATACTCCTTGCACCCTGGCTGCCTTTGCAGTGGCTGCGATGGTTGCTCGCAGGGCAATCGTTCGCCTTCTGTAGTGCGCTGGGTTGCCATTCCCGCACGACCACATCTCTTGCACTGCATACAGACGCTGATACTGAAACAGACCCAATTTGCCGCGTGAAGATGACGGCCAACAGCATGTTACGGGAGGCTTCCCAAAATCCCCCAAGCACAAGTTCTCGGACAGCCACAGCAGCTTGTCCTCTTATACGTCTTCCAACCAGTCTGGAGGCCACTCCAGGATATCTTCACTCTCAACAGTTAGCGGTATCCAGCCGTTCACCTCGCTACTGAATGAGGTTCCAGCATTCGACACCAAGCTAGCAGAGCACCAGCAGAACATGTCCGGTCCGGGCATGGTTGACATTCAGCCGCCGTCGCCGAGAACAATGGCCCAGCACGACCCGAATCTGGACCCCGCGATGAAAGGGCCGGGGAGACCAGGCAGCCCATCAGATGCGATACTCATCACACGAGGCATGGGTGGCAGTAATCGGTCCAGTCCGACGGACGGCTTGAGGTACGTGATGAAGTGAAAACGTTGGCGCCTTTGCGATTCATGCATACCCAATCCCATCAACCACACTGCAAAAAGGAACATCTCTGGTCTGTGCCATGGAAAAGGGACGCGCATCGGGCAAATCTTGTCCTATCCAGCATACCTTCCTTGCCTGGCTCATTCCAACCGCACCTTCCTTGTCTTCACCTTGATCTCTATACTCACTTCCTCACCTCACTTGATCTCGCCCGCATGGCTGATCACGTGTGGCGGTGGTGGGATATCTGCTCCTTCCCTTCGTCTCGTCGCCTTGATCGATTCCGTCGGATCTCGAGAGGGTCTCGTGAATCACATCGAATTGCCTGTCACTGCCCTGAACTTCGCATCCCTCGTCCTTTTCTACTCTCTAATCAAGGAGCCTCTTGAAGAGCTCAATCTTTCCTCTCCCGAACAAGCCCAACAGACAATATTAACTACCTCTGAGCCGGACTCTGCTGACCAAATCGAACAATAGTCCTCACTCAAAGCAACAACAAGACAACCTTAATTATCTTTCTCTCCCCAGGACAACTCTCACTCCAGGACTCACAAGAGGACTGTTTCCGCTCCTGATTTCGCCGCGATCTCTGCGCCCACCTTCCAACCCTTCCCTTCAGTATCAGAGACAGCGCCCTTCCCTCCGCAACAGCAACAGTACGGCATGTCGCCCCCCCAATCTCCCCCGGCCGCGACCGGCAGCGATGAGATCAAGTGCATGTACATCGAGAATTGCGACACCGGATCTCAGCCGCGCAAGGCCATCTCGCACATCTTTGGCCGCAACAAGCTCTGCACCCGCATGATTCCTGCCCACGTTTGGGTTCACTTCTGCCGCAAGCACTACCAGCGCAGTCGTTACCGCAACGCTCACGAGTACTCGAAGCTCCAGGTCGACCTCGTGCAGAAACAGATTGCCAGAGTCCAGCAGTGGAGCGACGAGAACGAGCGCGCCGGCAAGGCAGGCGTAGTGAACAGCTGGTCGCTCGCTATCCGCAAGCGTGAGCAAAAGCGATTGGAGGACAAGAAGGAGTCGAAGAAGCGCTCCTACCAAGACGAGTCCGAGGACGAGCAGCTCGACGGTGCTATGCTCAACGGCACTGCTGTCCCCGAGTGGCTCCTCAGCAAGTGCGGTGCTGGATACACCACGGTTGCCATCCAAGAGATTGTTGCGCAGCTCAAGACCGAGATCGACAACGGTGGTCTAAGCCAGATCCCCGATATCGAGATCCTTCCCACCATCAGCAGCGATGGCCCCGACGAGAAGCCCAAGACCTACCTCAAGCGCAAGACCAGCGGCGGCGCGGCCCACAAGCGCTCGCAATCAATGGGTGTTGCCCTGAGACCCGAGGCTCTCCCCATGACTAGGCGTGTTAGCCAGCCCAACGCATACTGGGGCCATGAAGGTTTCGACGCCTCCTCCATTGAGAAGCGCCAGCGCATTACTGACATGGAAGCCGGCTTTTATGGAGATCGCAACGCCATCCCCGGCATGCCCAGAGTCCCCTCTGGCATGCGCCGTATGAACATTCCGCATCGCCCCGCCTTTGGCAACATCCGCGAGAACCACCCCGAAGAGGACTACTATCGCCAGCCCCAGATGGGCTCTGGTCCCTTCGTCTTCGGTGCCGGCGGACCTCAGGGCGGCCCCCTCCCCGCGCCCACTCCCCAGCGCCGCGGTAGCAAGTCCATGGCCTCTCACCTTGAGACCTCAACCACCATGCCCACCGCCTACCCTGATCCCCGCCGCGCCTTCCACCAGCGGTCCCAGAGCGAGATGAGCGGATTCCACCAAGGCCAGGCTCCCACCTATCGGCCCAACTCCTCCTCGGGCTTCGGCCCCTACGGATACGGCCCCAGCCCCGTCGAGCAACCGCAAGAGCAGTACAACAACGCGTACTCTCGTCCTCATGACAACCCGTTCGCCCAAGCCACCCAGCCGAACTACTATGAGGATCCTCAGCGGCAGTACGCTTACGGTGCCTCTCCATTCCAGCCCAACCCGACGTCTCGCATGGGGCCCGGTAGCGCCAACAGACACACTCGTCACCAGAGCACCCCGAGCGCGCCCGGTGCCATGCATCGCGCTCCTTCGGCGCACGGCTTCGCTGTTGGCCCGAACATGGCTCCGCGCCACGACCAGCAGCAGGGCTATGACCGGGCTCCCTCGGAGCACTCGCGCCATTCCTCGTACGCCACTCCGCCCATGCAGTCGATGCAGCCCATGCAGCCCATGCCTGATGGCGCCCGTCATTGATCGGGAACGAGATTCGAGCAACGCACTCTTTTGAAACGGCCTTCCTTATACCCGCAATCATGTCACGTCGACACGGCATCAAAATCGGAGTCAACATCTGGGGGACGGCAAGCGGTCATTTGGTTTTCCTACCTCTCTCTTTCTTTAATCATCTCTATACTCTCTTTTTCCTTACTCTCGTTGCACGGCCATACAATTGCATGAGGAACAGCGGGAAAACAAACCAACTTGTACAACGGACATGGACTTTCTTTATCTCTCGGGAGGGCATCCCGGCCATTTGGGGTAAGCATGGCCGGCCTCGATGATCACAATGATGGATGACTGGACATCGTATGGATCAACGGCACACACCACAACGCGCATGAATCTGGGAAGCGGTTCTGGGGGGGTTTTCTCTATCCTTACAGGTCTAGAAAAAAGGCCAAGCCAAGGGCAGCTTTCACTTCTGAGGATCTTGTCGGAGAGCTCAGAGACAGCACGGCACCCAAAGCATACACGGATCGCAAACGTGTTGGTTGGCCGGTGGTGACGGAGGTTGCTAGTGAGGAGTGGAACGGCATTTGTACTGATATGGACGTGGCTGGCGGCGGTTTGGGAATTTCGGTGGGACCCAGGAGTGGCAGGTTGGGAGGCGGTTCTGAAAAGTGGCGTTGGTTTTCGGTTTTTTGGCTTTTTCGACCGGTTTCTGCCCTTTGCTTTTCTCGCTCTCACTTTTCTTGATCTTCCTGCGCGGCCATCTCAACCTTAGTTTCTGCTTCCACTTCGATTGGAAGTGGTGGCAGAGGTGTGTGCGGGTGGACAGATGATGGGTGGGGAGTTGGCGAGAGAGGAGGGCCCGGAACACCAACCTTTCCTTACATATTGATAACGCTTTCTTTACGCTTTCTTCCCGTTCTCTCGGCAAAAGGCTTTGAATGCTTAGATAGCTCGGCCTAATGACCACGCAGTTGGATGAAAACAAGATGCACCGGAGCCATATTTTCGACGTGATGTAATGTGATACGTGGGACGTGAAGATGTCTAAAGTTGTTCACGGGGGTGAATGTGGGTGGAGGAACAGCGGGAAAGGGCCCGCTTCCCGTCGACGGGATTGACCCGGACAGGGAAAGTTAGCACTCCCTTTGATTGTACGGATAGGCTAACTGGATCTAATGCTCAACGTTTCTTTGTGCTCCCAGATCTATTTTGTGGCTGTAAAGGAGAGGGAACATGTGAAGACTTGGATGGCTACTGGACGTGATTGGTCAGAGCAGATCGATCATCGCCGCCGGAGAGTCGAGACGCCACGACTCTCTCTCTCTCTCTACCTTGGCATTGCAGCCGGCAGACGATGCGTGATTCCATCCTCTCGGAAGGTCTGGCTTGGGACAAGGTCGGACGTCGGATCGGGTGAGGTTGGCGCTCCCGAGGGAAGGGAAGATGGTGATGGGCCGAAGGGGGCCGGGACCCCCGGGGACTTAAGGACCCATCCAGCCGAGATCGTATACGAGCCATCGCCATTGGCTCCCCAGCCTTTCTCCCTCATGTTCCGATCCAGTATCTCGTGTCTCCACGGCTCCCAAGCCGCATTTGAGAAGTCGAGAGTCGTCACGGGGATGGACGTCCAATCGTATAAGACATGTATTCCCTATTGGGAAGGGGGTTGAAGCGGGAAGAAGAGGGAGGGAGAGGGGTGGACGGCCGGCTTCGTCTCTGCGGTGAGACGTGCGCCTTCCTTCTTCCCTGGGCTAGCTTGGCACAGCTTGACAAGAGAAATGCACAGACGACGATGTTGGTGAGCATCGAGGGCGGGAGCCGAGTTCGTCAAGGTTGGTCAAGGGGCTTGTCATTGCTCTGCTATGCTTTGCTGGAAGGCCTTCCGCCTTCCGTGAGAAATGCTTTCGTGGTTTCCTGGCGCGCACGGTATAACCCTCTACATCATCTGAATAGGTCTACTTATGCTTGTCTATGCCATGTCTTCAACAGAGAGACCCGATGATGTTAGGCCACTTCTCCTGTAATCCAATCCTCGCTCGTCCGAGGCGCCATGTCGCGACGTCTGTCGTTTGTTCAGCCCGAAGCACTGCCTCCTATTCCCTGTACATGATGGCGCCGCCATCCCAGTCCGCCAATCTGCCAACGTTCGCCCGCCCCTTGACGACGAAACCGAGCCTCTCGTAAAAGGGCTCGACGCCTCCGAGGCCGATGAGCCACGCCGGCACGCCTTCCTTATCGACCTGTCGCAAACCCTCCCTCACAAGCAACGATCCGTACCCCTTGCCCTGGAGCTCCGGGTAGACACCCAGCGTGGAAAGGTACCAAGCGTTCTTGCGCTTCGGGTGTTCTGGGTCTTCCTTTATCGGGTCCGATGCGATGTGCGTGTCATCAAAAATGTCAGCCATCGCCGGATCGATGGACCTTGGCGGCCAAAGGTATCCCGAAAGCGAGTTGATGCCGAGGAGGACCGGCTTGAGCCAGCCACGGACGGTGAGTGCACCCTCCGTTGCCGACTTCTCTTCGGGCGTGGGGTAGGGCCGGCGCCACCACGCAAACGCGGTAATCCGCTCGCCGGAGGCGGATGAGGGGTCCGGGATGACCAACACGTAAAAGAGCTGCTGCTCGGGTCCCCAGTACCGGGCGTAAAAGTAACGATGGGCCCAGGCACGCCAATCTTCTGGGAACTCGTGACGGTGAGGTTGCATCTTTTCGACCGCCCAGTCGTGGCCAAAGGAAGCCATGTAGATGTCGACTACGGCCGGAAGGTCGTCGGAGGTGCCCGGGCGAATATGGAATTCCGGCTTGGGCATTGTTCCGACCATGATAGGATGCTTATGGCCAAAACCCTGTGGAATGATAGGTCGGATCTGTTGTTTAGTGGTATGAGCAGGTGGAATTCTACTTGAAGGTGTGGCTCTTGGACGAAGTCGGAAAAGGCCGAAGATGGTGGTACTCGACTATTCGTGACTGGTGGAGACCGTTTGCGAAGCAATTGGCTAATGGTCTCCTTTGGATTCCACCAGGTTGCAATGCCAGCATTCAAGGGTGAATTGATTGACGAGAGCAGTCAATGGATGACTGGCTGTTCGGATCTGGAAGCTAGTTAGAGTGTCGACGTGGTAAGCAGAAGATGGTGGTGTTCTGCAAAAGCGATCTTCTGCTGATTTGAGGGTAGTAGTCGTCCATCATATGTCACTGGAAGGGCGGAGTGACATACTTAGCTTGTCGAAATATGGGCTTGGCGGATGACTCAATCGGCAAGCACCAGACGTGGGGATGCGACTCCTAGCATACAAAAGTTCCTGGCAGCATCCACCAACGAATGGCTGCAGGTCTTGCAGGGTCCGGAGCTAACCCCGGTCATGGGACTTGGAGTGCCATGCAGTTGGCCATTTGCTCCGAACGGCCCGGCTGCGTACGGTTGTCTTCCACACGGAGAAGAGAGCCTCTCGAGGGGGATAGCCGAAGCAGACAACGGCGTCCGGCCAGCTCGCTTCAGCCCCTCTTTGCCCCCGCTACGCCGGTGCCGGTAGACGCGGATTGGATCCGCCGAGGTACAGGCGGTGGAGCCATCTGCCAATTTAGGAGAGGCACTTTTCGGCCCCCAAGCCCGCAAGTCACCGAGAGGAGGTTGGGCAGAAACTGCCAGATCCCTGGCGACCAAAGCGCCGTCCCGTCCACGTGGACGCGGCGGTATCTAGTCCGCACGGCAGGCCGTCGCAAATCTTACAGGACCATCCGGATCAGCCAGCGGACCCCATGGCCGGAAGGACGGGACTGTTGGAGAAGAAGGAGTCTGACCTCGTCGTCGCGGCTACCTTTCGCTCTGCATTGGTGGTTTGCCCAGTTGCGGTCGGTCTTGAGTTGGACCGCATGGCAGATCTTTGATGTGAACAGTAAGACGGTTACACAGAGGCGGCAACCACAACAAGGCGGATCCCCAAGCTCCGTGGACGCTTAGCTACCGAAAAGCTGTGTAACGTCGGTTGGACGTGGTTAGGGACGTTAAACGAAGGCATCCTAACCATTTCTTACCCGCCATGTCAGCCCTATACGAGGGGTGCAGCGACATGGGCTGCTGACAAGTCCAGGCCCCGGTGGTCTCGTCATCGTTCCGCAAGTCCCGGGCCGGATTCGGGGAGGAAGGGCCGCGGATGGGGCTAGTCAATTGGTTTCCTCGAACGTGGAAGGCTCCATGGCTCCCGGGAGGAACGTGTCAGACGCCATGGCACTATTCGAGAGAGCGCCGGTGTTCTGGTGGTTGTTCCAGCCTTACACTCGAGACATGTCGCACAAAACGCCTCGGACGAGGTCTGGCTGCGAGCGGCGATTGTTCGGCGTTGTTCCATGATTGGGTGCGAGGAAGTTGCGGTAGCGAAGGAAGCCTGACGAAGCAGCTGAGCAACGTGGATCGTTTGGAGGCCCAAGCGCATATCACAATCGGGAAATGGTATCCGCGGCCCATGGAGAGACAATGCGAGTGTGGCAGGGCAGGCAGGCAGGCAGGCAGGCACGGGGATGAATGAATGAATGAATGAATGGCAGCCACGGCAGGCAGGAGACGAACAGGCAGCATGTGGAGAGAAAGCACGACAGATGCCGAAGAAAAGATACGTACCTCTTATCTTGTCTGTCTTTCATCTGGAATCTGCCGTCGCTGGGTCGAACCCGTCTTTTTCGGATCGTCCCAGCCACTAAACAAACGCATCGATTGGGGTTGCCCGTGTCGAATTATAAAGGGATTAATGACGGACCACCTATAGGTAGCCTGGCAAGGCTCTCACTTTCTCTCTCTTTCCAGCCCCCGAGTCGTCTCATCAACCAGCATCCCTGGGAGTGCCAGTGAGCAACGGATAACATGACACCCGGCTCAACTTGGCATCGGATGACGAGGAAGGGAAAAAGGAGCGGCCGGCACTTGTTCAACCCCAAGTGCTCTTTCCCCAACCCAACCCAACCTGCGCTTCTGAGGCAAATGGCGAGCGAGCGTACCAGTCGTCGTGTAACACGGTACCATGGGGTTGCAGGGGTTTCGTCTTCGTAGCGTTTACATCTTCAGTGGCCCTCAGTTACAGCGGGGCCGGGATTAAGACTGGATCGAGGAAGGATCCGCTTGGAGAGCACAGAGATCCCCTCAAGTCCCCTCAACACCGCCCGTTATAACTGGCCTTGACTGGGTGCAGAGTCTCCCTTGGTGCCCTTCTTGGCCACACAAAAAATAAAAAAGAGGTCTGGGCCTGTGGAGCGCGCGGCACTAGTAGGGAGCATCGCTGCATCGCGCAGTCGACGAGGACGGATAGTACTTGAACACTAGTATCTTCCCGTCGGGTACCGTAGCTCCCAACCTATGCGTACCCGTAGCTCCTCCTACCTACCTTACCTTATTAATCCTTAGCCCAGCCGGCTCTCTCTCCTCCCTCATCACCAGGGACCGAGACCTGTGTCGACAGACCTGGCTGCCATTGCCGGTCTTGCTGTGATCGCTTCTGCTTGGTATTTTCTACTTTTCCCAAAGCAAGCGAGTCAGGCCATGCCAGGCGACCTGTTGCCGCCTGTTGACACCGTTGGCAGACCTTCTGTCGGGGACACACTCCCGTTTTCCTCCCTTTTTTTTTTGGACGCTTCTTTTTCGTCATCGCGAACTCCACTGAATTTGCTCTGCGGTGAATTCTTCTCGCGCAGGCCGCCTTTTCGCGGCGTCCCTCTCTGCGTTTCCGCCTCCAACCTTGCTTGCGCAGTCCGGCCGCTGAACAATACCGCACCACGACATGGCGAGACAGGTCCAGCGGCTCGCCGTGACGCCGCCGTCCGAGGATTCGGACAACGTCAACTCGGGCTCTCACTACACGGGTCGCTTGTCGTCGTCGTCCAGTCATCCATCTCCCGCCGATGCCCCGCCCCGAGCCCACCGCGCCTGCGAAAAATGCACCAGGACCAAGAAGAAGTGCGACAAAGGCCTGCCTGCCTGTTCGAGATGCACCAGGTAAGCCTATCAAATCTGATTCTATCCGCCAAAGTCCTCGTCATGTCTAACTCGAACCCAGACTCGCCACCAATTGCTGCTATGACTTTGTGGTCAACCCACCCTCGCTCACCATCGTCGAGCAAGGCGCCGCGGGCAGTGGCTATAAGCATGCCAGCGACGCGCGTCCTGCCTTCGAATGGCTCACCCAGGCCGACTTTACCGCCGCTCAGATCATGCAGCTTCTCAACAGCCATGGAGTTGACTGGAAGGCTTCCGTCAATACCTACTTCAACACCGTCAACACCTGGCTCGTCGTCATCCACCCCGAAGTATGGCAGAGACGCTGCGCCGCCGCTCAGCTCGAGACCAATCCCAACAACTCGGACATGGTTCTGCTCATTCTGTGCATTCACATCCTTACCATCTGGAACTGTGACGAGTTCTCATCCACGGCCATGCTTGAACATCCGCTCTATCAATCCGCCAAGCGTATATGGATCTTGAGGAAAGCCTTTTCCAAGCCCAAAATTGAGCACGTCCAGTGCGGCGTTCTCATATCTCTGTTCGAGCTAGGGCATGGCGACATCACTCGCTGCTATCAGACTTTTGGTGAAGTGGCCGCCATGGGCAAAGTATTGAATCTAAAACCCGGTAAATATGTCAAGGAGGAAGAGGATTTGCCTGCCGACCCCGAGGAGGAGCAGAACCGAGCTCTTTGGTGGGTGCTCGTCATCATGGACAAGTGAGAGCTCCCTAGGCCATGTACCTCGGCTTTTACTTACTGTATAGGATCTCCCACGAGCAATCCTCGACGCTATGGACTCCGCTCCAGATGGACATGCCCTCCGAAGACGACCTCCTGCCCACGGAGCATTACCTTTGGGACAATGACAGGAATGGTTCATTCAAGTTGGTCAAGCGATACCCCGTCACGATTCCTGCCTCGGTGCGCGTCGGCGCTTTTCAGAGATCTTGCCAGGCCGCCATCCTTCTCGGCTATGCTACGAATTGGGAGGCGGCGAACGCCGAGATTGAGGAACCTCCCAGCGTCTACTCGTTTGTCCAGCTGGAGTCGGCTACAAGGAACCTCATCGAAGCTTTGATTACCCGGTCCGAGACTTGGAGCGAAAATTTAAACACCTATGCTCTGTGTGCAAGGTTCGTCAGTTCTGGCCCACTCCCGTTCGTTGGGTGCTAACGCTCTCCAGCCTCTTCTGTCTACTCTTTTATTCCTTCCTCTATTCAGCCAACAGGCCCGACACTCCCGCCCGAGATCCGGAAACAGACATGGAGATGAAGAAGGCCGTCGCCGGCATCAAGTTTACCATTGGTCTCGTAATCGATGGCTCAAATGGCATCTTCAACGCGTACGCTAACCGTGAAGACGTTTTGGAGCACTGTGCCCCAGTATGGCCATATGCACAGTATCATACAATGCAGCTTCTCTTCCACTATGAGGCCCTGCTGGAAGATGCAGAGTCCATGATGGCAGAGGTCAGGCAAAGCGTCGAGAGCACCACGAAGCGATGGGCATGTTCTCGTAAGGATCCGCCCTACGCCTTTTCAACTACGAACCCGCTGACTCCTTGTTTTAGGTTGGCTGTTGGAAGAATTCGACAGAGTCCAGGCGACGCGGAGGAGCGGGGCCAAGATGTGCAAAAAGTAAGCATACATCGCGCTTGAGTTCCCGGACCAATCTCAGGGGCTGACAATGATAGGTGCACCCTTGGAAGCAGGACGTGCGGACACTGCCCAGTTCCTGAATGAGACATGATATCATGGGAGACAAGAATTTACGACGTCTGTTCAAGCAGAAACAGTCGGGCTCAAGGTCCGACTCACAGTGGGACAGAGTTACCGATATTGGCGTTCTACCCATGGACACACGTTTATTTCGACTTTGATCCTGTGGTGTCCTAAGACGGCGATATCAGAGAGGCATCGCGGATAAAGCCCAGAGCGTCGGGCTGCGACACTTAAGAAAACGCACACCATCAGCTATTGCCACACTGCGACCTGTACTGGCCCTTGGTGCCGTCGCATGACAGCACTTCGTCATGTTCCATGCAATCAGTCTAGACCTGGCGGACAAGGCTTGCGACGAACCCTATCGTCGCACCGACTGCCGCAAGTCGTTTGCAAGTCTCAAGTCCCGGGTTGCCCTTTCTTGCCACACCGGCAAAAACTGCTGTGGAGAGCGAGAGCAAAGCGGGGAAGAATCGCCCGTGCGGTGAGGAATGTCCGGCAGGTTTCGCAAGGCTGTCGGCGCAATGCTTGCCGTAGACAATGTTGCAGGCTAGAGTCTGCCTTGGAAGCGTTGGACGACGGAAGACATCATTCAACAGATCAGCCTCACCCGCGTATCGACTGTGAGCAACAGAGACATCTGACTTCGGCGTCAGGTCATCCGTCTAGCGCGAGTCTGTTAGTCAAATGGGCTCCACAATGCCTGGCAGCGAACGTGAAGCAGTCTTGGCCAGTACTCCGTCAGCCCTCATCCATCACGTTACCATCCAAGACGTGCTGGCTTACAGACTGTCGGTGGCTATAGACGGAAGGATTTGTCACCACTGTGGCGTCGTAGTCGCTCGTGATAGGGCTTTGGCTTCCGGTATGCATGAGAACTGCGCTTCGCAACCAGTCTCACTATACATAGTAAGATGTGGTTTTGGACTCTGGAGGTTTAGGAGCTCCAACCATCCTCCGTCAGAGGGTTTGCTCATCTTTCCACCATTGTCCTAGCCGCTTTGACAAGAGAATGAACCAGACGCCCCTTGCGTCAAACGGCTCAGACCGGTATCTGACGAAACACTGCACCCCCTTTCGCTGAGGCTTACCGTGTGTGACGAACAAAAATCAAACAAAAAAAAGGAAAAAAAGGAAGCTATCCACCCCCGCATTTCCTGCGCATTTGCATGTGCGCGAGTGAAGTGTTCGGGTCGACCTGCCACTCCCTGAGTTCGGCCGCGGTTGAGACGAGGGCGTCCAAGATTCGAAGAATGTTGCCCAGCAGCTCTCTAATTGATATCCCCCCCCCCAAATAAAACCAAAAAGAGAACCAAAAAAAGAGGTGCGTGCGGCCTCGTCGTTCCAGCAGCCTCAGCCGAGTGGAACCTGCAGGGTCCCTCTCCCTATCTCTCTGCCCCCGTTCGTACGAGACACGCGCATATCACGCGAGCTCGCGCATCTGGCCGTGGGGCTGTCGAGCTCGCCGTTCCCGACCGTTTTCTGTTTGGGTTGTTCCTGGAATCGATCGCCGCAAGCAGTTTGTGAGCTGGCGCGCCGATCCAGGGCCGGGGCAACGGGTGAGACAGAAAAAGTTTAACCGTGCCGGTTCGTGCCGGTAAGACAGACATTGGACATCGCGGTAGGGGGGTGGTGCGCAGGAGACTAGGGGAAAAGGAGAGAGAGCATTAATAGCCATGGTATTGCTGCATCTGAATCATGTGAATGTCCATCGTGAGGATCGGCAATGTGGGAAAACGGGACCAGGAACATTTTTCGCCGAGAAACCATAACCGGAGCTCAAGGGAGGGGGGGTGCTACCGGGGAGATAAGAGGCTGTCGTGGGATGTTCTTTATCTATATTTCAGACATACTTCGTGATTCAGACTAAGAGACCTGCCCGACTCTATCCTAGGGCAGGCGGTGGATATGGTATGGTATCTGACAAGCCAGGCAGGCAGTGGTGCCTGCCGGTATCTGGTAGTAAACAAAAGCAAAAACAAGGCAACCAACCAACGCCCCGGGAATTTTCCGAAAGGTTGTCAGAATTCCTCACCACGCTCCAAAGTCCCACAAAACTTCAAGACCAGATGGGCCCTCTCCCACTCTACCGGGTTCAGGCCGCTGGCTGACGATGCAATCAATGGACAAAGGAAAACCCCGACATGAGAAATGCGACCCAACCAAAACAAAACAAAAATAAAGGCGCCTCTACGCCGTGTTCCCCACCACGAGGATCAGCAACATGCCGTTGAGGACGCAGGCCGTGAAGAAACTGCTGTACACGGCCACGCGCTGCCAGATGCCGAGGTCGTCCCGGCGGTACAGCGACATGCCCAGGGCGAGGCAGGCGCTGAACAGACTGGCCACGACGCCGACCGTGACACCGGCGTCGACCTCGGCGCGGAGCTTGTGGCGGCCCGTGGAGATGAGGATGCCGGCCACAAGGAGCAGCATGAAGGACACGCCAAAGCAGCCGATGGTAGCCCAGAACAGCACGCGCTCGCGATACCTTCTGACTTGCTGCTCGTTGATGCTTGGAAAAGTGGCGTAGTGCGCCGCATATCCCGCCGTGGGTATGCCGTCAGAGCTGGCATACTCGTCGTCGGTATCGGTGCCAAGAGGCGAGATTCCGCCGTAGCTCTCCAGGAACGGAGCGTTGCCCAACAATCGCTGTCCCTCGGGATCCTGCCGCCGCGAAAACCATCTCCTAGCATGACGGAAAGGTGCCGCAAGGATCGCTCGCATCGAGTCCAGGCCGGGGAAGCTCATATCGTCGTCGGGGCTAATGTAGATGGCGTACTCGTCCTCCTGCCCGCCAGCCTCGCTTCCGTCATCGTACTCGTTCCAGTAATGCTGCGGCTGCTGCGGCTGCTGATACTGAATAGGCTGGCGAGGCTGGCGCTGCGCAGGTGGAAGTGGCGAGAAGAAGTCGTCCGTGGTAGATCCCCGGCGCGTGGGCGCCAGTTCATCAGAGGAAGGCGAGCTGGGCTCGCTCAATTGGGGGCTGGAACTGCGCAAAGTGTTGAGCAGTTCCTCATAGCGGGTCTGGAGGTTGTTCAGGTCTTGACGGGTGAAGCTCTTGGGGTTGGCGAGAACGGTCTCGCGGAAACGCACGCCGAGCGTGGGGGAGCCCGTCCATTTCTTGATAGAGTATTAGCACTCGGTCCTCAGCAATACGTGATTGGGTCGCAACATACCTTGTACTTCTTCGTGATCTTCCGGAAAGCGGTAATTTGGGCGTTGATGAAGCGTGCAAGCGCAAGGGTTTCCTCCCCGCAGCGAAGCAGGTCCCTCTCGTACTTGGCGAACCGACGGTGCCGCTTGATCGAAACCCGGTCGCCCTCCTCGGCACACTTGACAATCAGCTTCTGGAGCTGGTCGGATACGTACTCTGTGCGTCCGAATTAGCCAGTTGAACCTGATACTGCGCTCTTCTCGGGGCTGGGCACTTACGGAGCCGCCGCGAAATCTCGTCCGCCTTGCTGGACACGAAAAGGTCGACCCGGTCGTGCTGTTGGCAGAGCTCGTTGTAAAGATTATCCTCGAATCGCTTGAGTGCGGCATCCTGGTGGCCGGGGATGGCGATTGCGGTAGCCTGGTCGCGGCTCGTGTGAACCTTGATCTCGTGCTTGAGCGAGTTGTAGTCGACGTTATCTGTCGGATGGAGTCACTGGTTAGCCGGGAGGCTCTTCACATGCGAATTGGGATTCCAGGTCTGCAGCGACGGGGCAACATACGTAGACTCCATTCCGGAACGGATTCCTGCTCGAGTTGTTCGCCGTATTTCATGGCCTTGATGTCTCCCGCGAAGGGATCGTCACCAATTGCGTGGGAGCAGAATCGAGAGGGTGTGGTGTGGTGCGATGCGCTCGGGTGATGGTGTATTGACGGCGCGGATCTCGTATTTAGTCGCTTTTCTGCTTGGGACTTGGGCGTGGCCTAGATAAGAGCCAGGGGGGGCGGTCCGGCAGGTTGGGATGACGCAATGACAGTTACTCGGTCGGTCAATTCGTCTTAATGCGCGAGTGTACGGGTGCTAGAGATAGAAGAATAAATATGTGCTGCGAGCTGTCGGAGATATATGCAGAGTTGAATTGGTTCCTGAATTAATGATAAAGAAGGAGAAGATTCGGAGATGGCTGGACTCGGTTAGAAATTTGCGGGAGGAGTTGGGCGACGGTCAATTGTCTGGATAAAGACGGACCAAAGTCTAAATACATGGAGATTGGGAAGACAGTGGCCAGGACGCTTGCCTTAACAAAAAAGTGACCAGGATATGATGAGATGGAGAGGGGAGGGGATGGGAGGTGGGGGGGAGGTGTGGTGGAAAGTGGATGGGAAAGGATGGGGACGAGGCAGTGGAGGGTCTGATTGCATGGATTTATCAGGGCGCGTCCTGGTTCAAGGTCTGGGGTGGGCTTGCGATAGGTGCGATACGGCACTCTGTGGTTTTGTGGTTTCCCAGTGCACTGCGGGACTGACAGAGGATTGAGGTGGCGGCCGCAGGCTCCTAGAGGTCGCCGAGACTGAGACGGAGGGGGGTGTGTGTGTGTGTGAAGTCGACGAGCGACGGCGGGAGTCTTCACGGGAACGGGAACAGGAACAGGAACGGGAAAGGCGTTTTCAGCGTATCGGGTCAATTGCAAGCTTTTTCGCTCCCAGTCGCCCAATCACCCAACCCGGGAAGGCACTCGGCGTCATTCTCGAACCCGACTGGAGGAGCTGCATTCGCAGGGCACGGGAGAGGAAGGTACAGTACATGGCAAGCCAGGCAAGGCAGGTAGGGCGATGTGGTCCCTCTCTGCAGCTGGACGCGCTGGGTGTACCTGCCGCCTGTTGCTTGTTGCCCGCATCCATGGTCAAAGACAGACAGACAGATACACAACGGACGGCAAATTGACCACATGCGGTAACTTGAGAAGGGTTTCTCCAAAGCTAGATAGATCACCACCCTGCTGTCCCTGTGCAGCGGCACCGGCAGCGGCTTGCGCCATGCCGGCCCAGAGAGGATGAACCTGGACTGGAGGACTGACAGAGGGGAACGGGAAGCATGAGGGTGCCTTGGAAACCGCGTCTTGGCTCCCAGAAGCAGAATCAAGCGGTGCAGCAGCTCCCCCCCCCCCCCCCCAGTCCCTATGACGCCGGTAGGGTGCCACATGAGCGACACTTTGGGTTCCTTGGCACGCAGCACAGCAGTGCCAGTGCCAGTACCAGCATCAGAGACACAAACGTGTATCGACGGCTGAACGCACCCCTTGCCCAAATCACCGTGGTCGACCATCTGGGGCACGCCTTTACGGGGCTCGGACTAATGCCTGTAGACAATTACTTAGTAGGTACTACGTGTATGTACTCTGGTGCTATTCCTTGCCCACAGGTACGATGTATCCGCTTGCAGGCGTTAGCACGTTGGCACAGTCATCGAGCAGCAAGTGGGCATGGAGGGGATTCGGAATAATAAAAAGCTAGGTATGGAACATGCCAGCACGTTGTGGGCGTGGGCGTGGACCTGGAGGCGCTCGACGCCCAGTCATTGTGAGGCCTACACAGTAGGTACGGGTGTACATACACTACTACGAGGAGGATATGCCCACTCAGCCGAGGCCTGGGGTTTGCTTCCTTCAGGGTCCCCCCATCAGGAGGGGCGACGACAAAGAGCGGACGAGTCACGACCATCGTGTTCCACCGATTGATGACTGAAGGGCGCCGGCGCCGGGTAACGGCGCACCGGAGGGCTTCTGATTGTGGGTGACGATACGGACTGCGTGTGGATTGGGCAAGATTGTGAGAGGCGATGTGGATGGCCACCCTTGGTGTTGCAGTCGGTTGCAGATGCAACAACCTGCAATGTGCACACTCGGGCACTGGAAGCCGACGTCGGGGCAGTTGAGGTTGAGTTTGGCAGTGGCAGAGTGGCAGTGACAGGGAGAGTGAGCAAAGTGAGCGAGCGAGGTGAGAGTGGGCGAGTGGAAGTGAGAGAGGGTGTTGCGGGTATAAACTCAAGCCCGCCCCCTCCAAAAGTGCCCCAAGACCGACCCCAAAGACCCCAACCAAAGCACAAGGTGCTCCTGTCACAGCCAATGCTGCTGTTTCGCTGCCGTTTCTGCAAGAGATGCAGCTGGGCAAGCATTCTAGACCCGCTCCATTCTCCTTCCCCCCTAACCCCCCCCCCCGGTCTTGCCGCTGCGAGGGTTGCCCCTGCTCCCCCCGTGCATGTCCTACCGCTGCCATAACTACACATACATAGTATGTACGGAGGACGAGGTGGGTAGGCATTCCCTCTCCCACTCCATTGATTGATTGTTAGGCAATTCTTCCTCGTCTCGGCCAAACCTGCCTTCTACGGTCTTCGCTGCAACTCCATGGACTTTTGGCCGACTGCAACACCAACACCGACGATTTCTTGTCATGTCTGGCCCTCCAACACACGTCGCGACATCGCACTAGGGTCTGCTCGTTGTTGATGGCCTCAACTATCAAAGGCAAGCCAACAGACCCTGTCGCTGGAAACCCTGACTGAACAGACGGATGGGCGGCTGGTGGAAACCCAAAAAGAAATTTCTGATTCCTCGCATTGTTCGTGATCTAGCGTCCCCCCCGGGCTCTCAGACTTCGACCACTCATTGGCTATACTCGGGTCGACTTGGACTTGTACGTTTGCCTTCCTAGGCCCAACCGTCTCGGACCAGTCGAACAAAGTCTGAGTGTCTACAGCATGCAGCAGGACGCAACGCCGTCCCACGTCTAGGACTCGAGACCTTGTCGGACGCTGTTCCTGTCGTCTTTGAGGCTGGGCCACGTCTGAGAACAGCCATATCACCAAATCGCCGAGCCTCCCTGGTCTGGGCATGCATTGCACGACGCAAGTGTATGTCGTCCGCAAACTTGTCCTCTGTCTTATCTTGTCCATGGACCATGGTTGACTTACCACCCATTCAGTGTCCGTTCGGGCTCGTCGGTGCATTCGCCATTGCAACTACGGCTTTGCCCATTCGCTTCCATGTGGCACCCACGGCAAACGCGACATTGCGACGGGAACAGAGTTTGTGCTTTAAAAAGCCCACAGCTACATGATTGGTCTCTCACGCTGCCGTTCACGCTGCTGGAGCGCAACATCGATGCTCGGCACAGACAACAACATGCCAGTCTGCAGTCTGGGCGCCCCCCCTCCCGACAGATTAACCCCTCATCCGTAAGCGGACGAACCTAACTTGGCTGATGAGCACATGCTCACTTTCTGCATTTGACAGCTAGCTCGTCTCACTGTTGCCGTGTCACGACAAGATAAGCTTCGTGTCACCACTCCCATGTCTATGCGGTACTGTACAACTGGCCCTGTCTCGGCTGGGTGTCCGTGCCATGACCACGCAACAAGCCGTACCAAACCATGCTGGCAGCTCACTTATCGAGATGCTCCTCCGCCCACAGCTGCATACGCTGGCTGGCATGACTGTTGCCTTTTCACGTTAGCCTCGCTCCGCTGTCGTCGGGTCTGTAGGTTTTTTCAGCCGACCCAGCACCACTCCATCCCTCTCCACGCCTGCAACGCCCTCAATCTCCAAACCGCGCAGAGTCCAAAAGGTGGCCCCCGAGAACGGTGGAGCCTCCCGTATCCTCTGGACCACGGGGTTTAGCCCAACCGTAGTGTGGGCCCAATCTTGGGATTGTGTGACACCCTCGCGCTCGCTGCTGCACGGGCCATGCTGCATTCGCTGCGTTTTGTCGTCCTTTAATGCTCGCCGCTATTGCTGGTTTGCCGCCTCATCTTTTAGGCCGTCCGCCACATTACAACAATTGCACCTCTCCGAGGCGGCTTAGCAAACTCTGGTGCTGAGCCTCACCATTGCCCAATCACTAGGCGAGCGGAACTGGCGGGGGCTGGGCTAGCCACCAAAATCGTCTGCAGTAATGAGCGCTGAGTAAGAATTCTCTAATGCTGGACGACACTGGCCCCGCCAACTTAACGTCGTCTAACAGGACTCCAGTAATCACATTTCGTACGTACCTCATGTTCGTCAATTCTCAGAAACTACACTACGCAATTGCGTGGCTAACCAACTTTTGCTCATCTCACCCCTCTCCACTGCGAAAAGCGTTGCGATGGGGAACTAGCAGGCAAATGCAAAGCCGCCTTGGCCACCTTCCTCTGCGGTCCAGGGTCCTGCTTCCCGGCTTGGGCCCGCGGCGAGCCGGATGCAAACCTCCACTTGATTTCTGGTGTGGATCAACAAATGCCTGCTCTCGTATGGCCCACGTGCTCGACTTGCGAGATCTATTGGTCTTGTGTTCCCTAGCTCTCCCAAGCAAGTGTGTCGTCGCCGCGCATCATCAGCCATGACGATGAAGGTTTTGACGCGTCGGCCGCTGTAATGGTTCGCTGCCGATAGGTCACTTTTGTTTCTCTGCCGTCAAGATAAACAAGATGCCAAGCCGTGGTTCAAGTGCAAGTGCCCTGGATACAAGGACCAGCCTGGGATGATGCACAAGAACCAGGTGACGGCACCGGCAAGATGATGTCTCTCTGTCCTCAGAGTGCCCACCTCGGATCATATACTACAACCAAGTGACAACGCCCTGCTTCTGTTAAACCCGGCAAAGTTCCGAGCGCGGATTGGAGCGGCAAACAAATCACTCGCTATGCCGACGTGCTCCTCTTGATCACTGGCAGAGTTGTGGACCTCGAAGATCTGGCAGATGCTTCATCGTCGATTACAAAGTGCTGTTCAACCGAGGCTCCGACCTTCTGGTCTTGCAACGTCTCCAGAGCATCCGCAAACGCTGCAGTTGAA